TGAGCATCACGAGCGCGTCAAAGCGGAGCGGGGCGCACTTGAGGTAGGCGGGCTTCCGCGTCACGTTGAGCCGGAAGCCCGGCTCGCCTGGCGTGCGCACAAAGTCGTGAAAGTCGACGTTGGTCGGGTGCGCCTTGACCGCGAGCGCGCGCGAGTCGCAAGTGCCCTCCCCCGGCAGCAGCGGAAGCAGCGAGACGTCCGAGTAGACGGAGCCCGTGTAGGTGCCCGTGGCAAAGTCGAGCAGCAGCCGCAGCCAGGTGTTTCCCGAGCCCGGAAACGTCCACAGGAGCGGCGGCAGCGCGCCCGACCCCGGCTGCCGAAACTGGCGGTGGACTCGGGGGCAGGTCATGACGTGGGAAGGCTTGGCCTGGCAGTGCGAGGCGGCAGTCGTCGGCGGGCGGAACGAGAATTTGAGAAGCCTCGCTTCGTTGGCACGGGACTGGCGCGCATAGTGAGAGACTACGCCTCGGGTCTAAGCGGCCCCTTCTCGCTCTCCTCCCACCCCGCTGTCGTGACCGTCTCCACCCCACCTCCATTTTGCCTTTAGGTATGATTCGATCATGAGTTCGTCCGAGAGCTCCCTCTCCCAGTCCCAGCTCAGCTCAGCAGCTCGTCCACTCCAGTGGGTTATCACTTCGGCATCCCAGCCTCCTCAAAGTGTGCGCTAGGCTGCTCTCGACGGCCACCCTCGCAGGGGTGCTGAAGGCGTGCTCAGGAGGGTTTGACGCATGGGGTCACTCCCGCGAAACTCGTGAACTAGCCGGGGCAGTCGGAGAAGGGGCAACTCCGTGCACTGACGGTCGGCCGTCAGAAAACACGCCTCCGTGGCTCGGGTTACACCAATCCTCGCTACCCAACGCGGCCAAAGGATATCCACCTCGAGAACCTCGAGAGTGCTCAGGAGCCTCTTGATTGGTTTGATGGCGATTGAACGGCGTTTTGCCTTTAAGTTAACCGACGTGAAAAACACCGGCAGTTTGGGGAGACTAAACACAGTGCTGAGGTAGGTAGGTAGGAAGGTGAAGAACAGCCAGGCTCGGACTGGACACCAGCGCGTTATGGGTGGACGCGGGACAGATGATGACGGCACGCTCGAGCGACACACAGACACACACAAGCTCACAAGACACTCAGCCAGCGAGATGGGACAGCGAAGGAGGAGATCCAACTTCTGGGTCAACAGTCAC